GCCTGCTCCCCCAGCCCTCCCATGGCTGCCCCCACCCGCCCCAGCTCCATACTTTAAAAAAAGAAGCCCCAGTGCTCACCAGGTGCTGCTGGGCAGGAGGCAATCCCCACTGCCCCATGCTACATGGGGGGCTCTGCATGAGCCCCCCTCGACCTCCCCCCCCAGCTCCCCCGGTCCCCGCACAGCTGCCCTGCCTGCCGGGGCTCCGGCCATTTAAGAAAAAAAAAAAAACTGAGAAAAGCCCCGAGACTCACCGCTCCTGGTTCAGCCTCAGGGCACGGGGCAGCAGGGATCGCTTCCTGCTGGCAGGAACAGTGAGTCCTGGGGTTTCTTCAGGTTTTTTTTTTTCTTAAAGGGCTGGAGCTGGCCCATGCAGGGCACCCATGAGGGACCAGGGGTGGTGGTTCAGGGGCTCATACAGAGCCCCCCCCATGCAGCTTAGGGCAGTGGGGGCCAGCGGGGATCACCCCCACCCGGCAGCACCTGCTGAGCTGGGGCTTTTTTTTCCCCCAAGTGCCAGGAGCTGGGGCAGGCAGGGCGGCCATTGCTGGGCTGGGAGAGGGGTGGGGGATGGGCCTGGGCTGGCTGAGTTTGAGATTTGGCCGAATCGAATCAGAACAGTGATTTGAATAACTGAATCACTGTCCCCTGAATCGGCCAAACCCGAATCTGAAGTGAATACTAGCCGCTTTGCACAGGCCTACAATCAGCTGTTGCAAGCCCCATGATTCCATAGCTAATTAGTGCTGTGGGCAGAGCATCACAGACTTCTACAAAAACACCAAGTGCTGCATTCTGCAGGAGAGCAAAATACAGGAAAGCAATCTAAGGCAAGGATTACTTTACTGCAAGTCAGATTCCTACGTTTCAAGACTTTAAGGCTAGAAGGAGCCATGAGTCCCTCTTGTCCATCTGCACTAATGAAACTAATGAAATATGTTCTATTAGCACAAAGCAGAGAGGCAGTTAGCACCCTCCAGCCACCTCTTATTTCTAAGAGTGGCCATCTCAAAGGACAGGGGTTTATGATTGTACCTGCCTTTGTTCATTTACCCAGACCCAGAGCTTACATCCCTCCCTCTGAATGTTTTCTAGGGCAAGTTCATTCGAATCCATTTTGGCCCCTCCGGGAAGTTGGCCTCTGCTGATATTGACATATGTGAGTAAATAACTAGCAGCAAAAGACACAGTTTGGCTACAAATTTTTTCTCTGTTTTAGCATTGGTACTGGATTTGTTTCAGAGAAACTCTAACCTCTTCTGCCCTGTCTGTTTCTAGACTTGCTGGAAAAATCAAGAGTGATTTTCCAGCAACCTGGAGAGAGAAGCTACCACATCTACTACCAGATCCTATCTGGGAAGAAACCAGAGCTCCAAGGTAAGGAAGTTCAGGGGAAGAGGAGGAAGAAGCAGAGCATCAATCCATATAGCAGGAAATACAGGAAACTAAAAGGAAGCTTGTTTAGTTTGATTTTCAGAGGCAATGAGAAATCCCAGCTCCCAGTGCAGCTATATCCTCCTGTAATGGTTCAATGCTGTCACCTGACATATGAGTTGAGGAGAGGGGAGCCTGACATGAGCTCTTCAAGTGAAAGTCTTGGGGACAGATAAATAATTACTTAGGGGTTGTCTGAACTGTTAGACTAGAGCTCATACAAACATCCTGGCACTGAGTTAAAGTAGTACAACAGCAACATGAAGCTCAGTGGTGCCTGGCCACCTATAGATTTCATTAGCTTTGAGGAGCTGTGGAGGTTTGCAGTCCACTCTGAGCTCAGGGCTGACACAGGTTGCTGACAGTACCCGAGTAGCTGGTTTAAGCCAGCCTGGGTTTTGACTACCTGACCTGTGGTTACAGCAGAGATAGCAGTGTAGTCTTCCAGATGATCTCATCTGACCCTGCCATACTCTTACTTGAAATACACTGAGCAGTTCTGCATTCCAGGTGCCATTTAACAGGATGTGGCAGAGGAAACGTTTGCACACTGGAGCAAGATGCTTGATATGCCCCTCAGGGGTGATAAATCTCTTGGCTACTGCCTATTGAGCCTGCTGCTTGATCATAAACAATACCTTATTAGGCAGGTCTGGAGAGCTATGCAGAGCAGTAATCTTATCTGATGGTCACATGGGCATGGATGGCCATGTCTAAATCAGTCTTCAGCTGGGCAGTGTTCCCAAGACAGCAAAGGAGAGAGGCAGCTCTAGCAGAAATGTGCTTTTCCCAGAGGCAGCCAGGGCTTACAGGGACTGACCAACAAGCTGATTCCATGAAAAACAGCTACAGCTGAGGTAGCAGACAAGACCCATCTGGAATCACACCCAGCTATGCTTCTTTCTATCCTGGCTACCAATTCTTTCAAAAATCAGTGGGGTTTCAAAGCATCCCTGTTCTGCAGCAGAATGAACCTGAGATCTTGGGAAATTTCTTGTGTAAAAAGCAGTCACCAGGGCCCTAAAATAGCCACAGTGTCAGTGAACAGCACACTCACCTGCAGTGAGGTGCAGCTCAAGCTCCTGATTAGGATCAGGTAGACCAGGGGCTAAGCTCTGGGGCATCACACTGGTGGGACCAGAAATGTCCCAGATGTGGGAACCACCCCAACAAAAGTTCCATTAACATGGCCAGTTCCTACAGTAAGATTTGCTTTTGACAAACCAGCATTTTCTGATGAAACCCCTTTGGTTGGGAAATTCCTGCCCAGCTGTCATCCTGACCAATTAAGCAAAGAGGCTTGAGCTCTCCAGCTTTTCACCTCAGCCACACACGCTCGCAGCCCTCCTGCCACTGCAAGGGCACAGAGTCAGTAACCCACTTTCTTGTAGTGGGATATGGTGATACATACAGTGCTTCAGGGCCAGCCTGGGTGTACAGTAATGTGATGTGCAGAGCAAAAGATTCACAAGGCAAGTAGGAATAAGACCAGGACAGGAGGAGTGGCTGGGCACTAGGGCTGTGTGAAATGCCTGTGTTTCATTTCAGTTTTGGAGAAACAGTGTTTCGTTTTGGTGTTTCATAGAGCTGTTCAAAACGGCTGCTGCTGGGAGTGCTATCAAGGGAAAATGGATCCCCCTCTTCCACATCCCCCTGCCTGTGCCCTTCTGCCTCCCAAACTCTGTTCACCAGCACCTCTGTCCAGTGATCTAGGGTTTTGCTGGCGCACATGCTCCCCTTCATCCTTGGGTTGCACACGCTGCCAGCACGTGGGCCATATTGGACTGCAAAGGATCCAGCCGTTTCTTCCTGCCCTCTCTCGGTCACTTCACCAGTGCCTGCACCTCTGGTGACAGCAGCTGGCCCCAGCCAGGAACATTAGTCCCCTGGAACTTCTACATTTGGTTCTCAAGTTCCCTAACTATGGGGATAAGCTGGCTAAGGAGTGCTGACGGTCTCAGTGGCCTTGAGGAATGACTTGAGGACCACTAAGATCTGGGAGGTGGTATCCCACTCTGTTTTGTTAAGCAGGCCGCTGATCCCAACCTCCCCGAGAAAGGCCATCTCATGGATGGCCTTCTGTTACTCCACCAGCCTTTCCACCATGAGGTATGTGGAGTTCCAGTGAGTCTTCACATCCTGGATGATTTTGTGTTGTGGAACGCTCAGCTCTGCCTGTTTGTCCCACAACGTTTTGCCCCCCTTGATGGTCCAGTGGAAGTAGCCCGCCACCTTCCTGCATTCTGAAATGAGCTGGCCGGTTGTGATGGCGCCATCACTGGAAGCCCTGTCCCCCTCCAAGTCATCCCTGACTACGAGGTGGAACTTGTGCACCACACAGTGGATGCCAACAAAGTTGGCATCACAAACCACCTTGACCATATTGGCTCTGTTGTCGGTGACCATGAACCTGCAGATGAGCTCAACCTTCCCAATGAGCCACCCCTGCACCATGCGGTTCATGGCCCCATGATCTCCATCGCTGTGTGGGACTCATCCATCACCTCAGCTTGAAGAAGAGCCCACCGACAGCCTGACTGATCGCACCAGTGCCCTATGAGGGAGAGGTAGGCATGATCTTCACCCTAGCTGCTTCAGATGTTGGAAGTGAAATGCAAGGGCACCTGTGGACCTGCCTTGTGCAGCTACTCCCTCAAGTACTCCCTGCATGCCTCATACAGGGAGGGCACCACTGCTGAAGATGGTGCACGCAGGCACTTGCCATGAACTGTCTGAACCCTGGCTGCTCAACTAAGGATAAGGGTTGGCCATCCAGAGCAAACATCTCCCCAGTGCTCTGGGTGATCTTGCTCACCTTTGCAACATGCCCTGCTTTCTGTCTGCCTTTGCCCCACTGTTCCAGGGTCACCTGCCTCTGCTTCAGCAGGACAGGGGCTTTGGAGGGAGAGGGGAACTTCTTTTTGGGCATGCTTCCACTGGTGCCAGGCTGAGGAGGAGCAAAGGCAAGGGGGTGTTCCCTTGTGAGATGCGTTAGCATCCCCATGGTGCTGAAGTGTTTCTCCTTCTTGCCCCGGTTGGTCTTATATTAGCAGTGCAAACAGATAACATACCTGGGATCATCTGCCACCTCAAAATGATCCCACACCACACTACCCCCCTCCAGTGTTCCCTCTAAGGAGTAGCAATCCATGAGCACACCGCCTTGGTCCATGAGCATGCCGCCTCAGTCCAGTGTGGGACACTTACTGAAAGGGGCTGGGGGCCGGAGGCTGGAGCCAAGAGGCTGGGGGCCAGAGGCTGGGACCAGGGAACAGAGGCTGGGGCTGGAGCCGGGGGCTGGTGCGGACTCCACCGGCTCCAGGGGAGTGCTCCGCTCCTCCATGTCGGGGCCAGGAAGTGGAACACTTCCCTGGAGCTGGCGGAGCCCATGCCAGCCCCCCGCCCCAGCCTCCATCTCTGCCTTGATTCACCTCGGGGAGGAGTCGCTGCCTGTCCCAGTGAGGCTCTGCTGGCTCCAAGACACTGCTCCACTCCCCAGCCCTGATGCCACATGCCTTCTTGCTCCATGAGGCTATGTGGGGGAGTGGAGCAGTGCTCCGGGGCCAGCGGAGCCTTACTCAGGGCAGGCAGCAGCTCCTCCCTGAGGTGAGGCAAGGCATGGATAGAGGCTGGGGCGGGCTTCGCTGGCCCAGGGAAGTACTCCACTCCCCGGCCCTAATGCGGGGGAGCAGAGCACTTTTCTGGAGCTGGCGGAGCCTGAGCCAGGCTCCCGCCCCCACCTCGCCTAGGAGCTGACTTTTAGCTCCTCTTCTGGTGCATGGCCTTGAAAAGGCTGTGCACAGCCACACTTTTAGTTGTGTGTGGCTGCTCATGCGCACACCTTAGAGGGAACCTTGCTCCCCTCACTTCTGGGGTGCGGGTACTGATCCTGCCTGATCCCCTCCTCAGCAGACAGAGGCATAGCAACAGGAGGAACTGACTCAGCTGAGCCATTTGCCTCCACAACCTCAACCTCAACGTCCTCCAAACTCCCTTCTGGGGAAGGAGACCTGGCCCTAGGGGAACTTGGAGGGGAGTGGAGTTCAAACTCAGATTCCTCCTCAGTCCCCAGAATTTGTTTTGCTAGGGCGCTCAGGCCTCCTACTTCCAGATCCAGGTCCTCCTTGGGCACTGGAAGGCTCAGGCTGGGAACTGAAATGGGGGTGGAGGAGATTGTCATGCTGGTGGTGCTGGGGGTTATTATTATGGCTGGTGTTGTTGGAGGGGGTGCAGATACAGGCACTGGTCCCACCTCCTTCCTACCACTAGCACCAAAAGCCTCATGCCTGCTACTGCTAGGGGAGAGGCTATGTGTAAGTTTGCAGGGGTGGGGGCGGCGCTTACAGATCTCCCTCTGCCCCCTCTCCCTCCCTGGCCAGAAGACCTGGCATCTGCCTTTTCAGCACACTTCATATTTCATGTGCTGGAAAAAATGTGTGTCTGTGTATAATAAATGTATGTGTATTGAGTGCAGTGCACTGTGATGAGACACTGCCAGGCAAAGCACTGCTTTCTTTTTGTTTGGCAGGGGAATAAGAAGAACTAACAACAGGATTTTGGGGGAAGGGTAGGCAAGGGTAAATAAATAGAAAAGGATTGGCAATGGCTACAACTTGGTAGCAAGGCACTACCAAGCTGCAGGCTTACAGATGCTGCTCTCTGCTGCTGCTTCTGCTGTAGACACAGATGCAACTGCAAAATGGCAGAGAGCAGTTCACAAACAGCCTTTTATGGTGCTTCTCTGTCCCTCCCCCAGAGCACTGGAATTGGAAAGGACCTCAAGGACAGATCATTGTCACTGGTCAGCAACAGATGTCAATATCAGAGCAGTCCTTCCTTCCCTTCCCTCTTAGTTTCTCTTTCCTTGCAAACCCATCTCTGAAACAGCTTTGAAACATCTGAAATGTTTCAAAACATTTCCAAAACATTTTGGATGGCCTGTTTCATTCTGGAGCTGTTTCAGAGCCTTGCGTTTCATTTCGGATTAGGTGTTTTGGCCACCGGGATGTCCGAATCCAAAACGAAACAAAAGTCCCGCTGAAATTTCACACAGCCCTACTGGGCGCTGGAATGTTCTGGCATTAACAGAGAGTGTGCCACCAAGGGAGAGCAGGGTGCCACAGTGCCAGAGCGTAGCTGCCTTGTAAGCAGTGGGTTCTGTGGTAGGCACCAGGGCCAACTTCATGAAACAGGTTGCACTGAATGCAAATCTCAAGGGACCCTGGGCAGTATCAGACAGTCCAGTGCTCCTAGCTTTTGTTCTGAACCCTGCCATTTACCCCCCCTGGATCTGCTGCTGAGCTTCATGGCAGGATTGTTAGGGCAGAGGCTGAATTTCCTTCAGCCTTCAAGAATGAATTTACAAGATTGCTGTGAGCACAGCTCACACCCCATGAAAGCTTCCCTATGGATTCAAAGCTGGGACTATGTTCACAGGCAGCAACCTGGATATGCTGGGCCTGGAGTCTATGAGGAGGATTAGTGGCTGCCCAAGTCTCATGTATAGTGTGCTCTGGGAATACTGGCCAGGGTCTGTGGAGCAGAATGGCCTTACTCACTTTCACAGTTAGGGCGGCTAGGAGCTGGAACCAACTTCCAAGGGAAGTGGTGCTGGCCGCTACCCTGGGGGTCTTTAAGAAGAGGCTGGATGCCTACCTGGCTGGACTCATTTGAGTCCCGTTTCTTGTTTTGGGGTTTTTGTTGTTCTCCCGCCCTGGCGGGGGGTCGGGTTAGATGATCTACTAGGTCCCTTCCGACCCTTAATCTATGAAACTATGAAACTATTTTTCCCTCACAGACATGCTGCTGCTCTCTCTCAACCCCTATGACTACCACTTTTGTTCACAAGGCGTAACGACTGTGGACAACCTGGATGATGGCGAGGAACTAATGGCTACAGATGTATGTACATTGCTTCTGAAAGAGAGAAATGGGGGTGGGAGCAAAAGCCAGACAGAAGGGAGGGATTGTGGGAGAGGTCTTTAGATACGGTAAGAATTAAAACCAAAACAGTTTTGCATGAAACTCACAAACTTTTCAATTTGGGTTTTTTTGACAGAACCAAAATATTTTTATAACAGGAAGCTGGCACTTTTCACCACAAGAACCAAACAAACAAAACATCAGTTTTGCACTGAAAAAGTTGTGATACAAAGTTTTCTAGAATTGCCAGTTGTTGCAAGCTTATTGATTATGTTGCAAGTTTGCTCTCCATCATCTATTTTTCAAGGTCCTTTTCCTGGCATCAGATGATTACCTGAAACTTTTGACTTTAATTTTTTTAGAGTAAATTTCATTCTCATGATTGTAGCAGTAAAATGAAACCATTGAAGCACAGGAACCATAAAGGGTCAGAACCCAGAAATGAAGTGCCAACCTCCCAAATTTATTGTTGTTCAGATCATTGCATTCCTTTTAAGCCAGTCTCATGTTTTTTGGGGAGCCTGAGTCATGGCTTTGAACCTGTGGAGTGGCCCATGTAGCTCAAGGGATGCCTTATTACAGGGTGACTGAATACAATGAACCATCTGCACTACAGAGCCTGGGCCAGGTGATTAATGTGCTGTGAGGGACTGCAATTCAGACTGTCAAGCTCCCTGCTGGGGATTGGTTTTGTGATAACTATACATTTGCTTACCCTGCCTGTGTTACTCTGCAGCATGCCATGGATATCCTGGGCTTCAGCAATGATGAGAAGTATGGCTGCTATAAAATAGTGGGAGCCATCATGCACTTTGGCAACATGAAGTTCAAGCAGAAGCAGAGGGAGGAGCAGGCTGAAGCTGATGGCACTGAAAGTGAGTTTGCTATCTTGGCAGTTTTGTGCATCTAGGTAAGGGTGGGCAAGCACTGCCAACCCCCACCAAAACGCATGAACTCCTCCCACTCTCAGACAAGCTAGTGCAGAGCTCGGCCAGAGCTGGGCTCTCTTTTTGGTTTATAAGGGGGTACAAGGCTATGATCTCAAAGGACTATCTTGTGTCAGCAGCATCACACCTGGGTGCACAAACTGGGATCTTCTTGGATAATTCTGTGGAGGATGGGAGACTTTTCCAGACAGGCTCCCCACACTGTTTGAGAAGAAGCCCATTGGAATTAGCTGGTCCTGTGGGTACAGTGGGAGGATGCAGATGTAACAGACATCCTCAATGACAGGCTTAAGGCCAGAACCCGCAAGGAAGGCTGCAAGAATCTGCCAGTCCAATGAGTATAAGCAAAAGTTCAGAGGGCAAATATAGAGGGAAAGAAGTATGAGACTCACTCCCTGCTTCTGTTATTTACTGGCCTTCTCCCTTATGTCCTTCCTCCCCTACCCCCTTTAATGGACCTCATCTCATTAACATGAGACAGTATCTACTGAATAGGAGCCACCTTACTCAATAGATGAAAGTTCCAACAAGAGCCCTTACTGCTGGATGTGCAGTCACTCATGGATCTTCTCAGTATTATTAATTTCTTTTATTAACAAGCTAAGAAAATCCTAGGTAAAAGATGAAAGATCATTAAGGCTACAGTGTGGCACACTTAGTAATCCAGTAATGAAGGTAGCATATGCAACCTTAATTTTGCCCTCTTGATCTCGGGCATTATGATGTCAGCTCTACAACAGTCACATGCTAATATTTGCCAGAATTGTTGTGCAGCTGTGTACTGTACAGCTGCAATAGGAGGGATGAGGAGGAAGGAGGCATGCATCTTGCCACCAAACTGTGAGGATTAAAGTAAACCTATTAAGATGGACCA